GTCAGTCAAAAGAGGGAACAAATATTTATAGTGAGGATCATTCCCACCCCCTCAGTACACAAGGTCGACAAGGATGGGCAACTTAGACATTGGCTACCCAAAATGGGGAGGCTACAAAGGCAAGAAGTGACTGGCTTACAAGCTTTCTATAGGGAACCTAGTTCTAGAGGGTGCGGGGAAAGATAGAATCTTCACTGAGTGGTTTCCAACCTGTCTGGATGGGGCTGATGAAAGGAGATGGGAATAAGACTCCTGTGGTTCAATAGTGAATGATTGCTTTCAAGACTGACTGTGAGTATTGGAAAGGTAAATATAGATGTTTTGTAACAAAAGGAGGGGAGTGGTTGATTTTGCAGTCAAGGGGTGGAGGTCCCTGGGACCATCAAGGGAGAAAAGCAGAGTGCAGGACCCTATCCAGAGAAACAGTGACACCAGAGATGGAGGCAGAGCCGATAACGTGGAAAGATGGAGCAGTTGGGGACTCTAGACTCAGGAAGGGAGAGGGGCTGTGTGCTGCCAGACGGGGGCAGACTTGTGGGTGCACCCTTTGGTTGTTTGACGATTCATGTAGGGGATTGTAATCATTGCAATGAAATGAAATAAGATAGGATGAATGTAAAGCTAATGTTCTCCCATGTAAACTATTATATAATTTGCAATAAAAACTCAAAATAGAATCGATGCATTTGAATTATGGCCTTCGAGAAGGATTTTTTAAAATATCATAGATTGGGGCAGACTAGGCAATGATGCTATACACACCCTCTACAACAAAGATAAGGAAAACAAAATGAAATAGAAGTAGATGATAATCCCCGGGACCCTGCGCCTCAGATGAAGGGATGGAGAAGTGGATTGAATGCTTACTACGAAGGAAGCTAAACAGACACAGCAAAAAAAGGAGATAGACTGGTGACCTGTGCTGGCCACCAGACATGGCACAGTCATCTTATGCTTTTGTGAGCAGCTCCTACTTTCATTTTTTCTTCTTTCTTTCTCTCTCTTTCCCACCTGCTGCTGGAAAGAGAGAGACAGTATGTTGATATTGCAGAAACATACCAGTGACTCGTGGAGATAAAGGTGTTATATTTTCTTATTCCTCACACTTCCCTGATGATCAGAGGTGTGACTTGTCCCCACCCCCATACACCTCCGATGAAGCTCACATGCCACTCCAACCAGAGCTGCACAGAAGTGATCAGTGCAGTTGTGATACCAATCAAATTGAGTGGGGAACTAGCTACACCAACCCCAGCACCTAGGTTCAGGTGAGCCCTGCTCCAAACCTGTGGAGCTGGCCCTGGTCAGCCCTGTACTAGCCCTAACTAGGAGAAGCAACTGAACAGACATATTGTTGTTGTTAAGTGCCATAAAGTCAATTCTGACTCATAGCGACCCTGTATAGGGTTTCTGAGGAGCGGCTAGTGGGTTTGAACTGCCAACCTTTTGGTTCAAACTGACCTTGCAGTCCAGTGCATTATCCTGCAGTGTCACGTGTGTGGAGGTGTGGGGGGATGAAAACTGGGAACTTATGCCAGACAGCCATGCCACAACCATCTTGGACTTTAACTGATAGCTTTAAAGGCAAAAGTCAGTTGGTGGCACAGAGGTATACCACCTCTTATTGGCAGGAGAAAGGTGAGAAATGTTCTTGTACCCTACATTGCCCTAGTGACTAGAACCCATGCCTGTGTACACTCCCAGTGAAGCTCCTACTCTCTGGGCAATTGGAGCCACATCTCGGTGAGTTTGGAGCTGGCAGCACAAACCTCTGCAGCTGGAATCAGGTGTGGCCTACTTCAGACCTGCAGAGCTGGTTCTGACCAGGCCTTCGGCTGCCATGTGGGATAGAAATACCGATTCTTAGCTGCTTTTGGGTCTGCACAAATTACTTTTGGATTGAGTGCCAAGAGCAGAAAACAACTAGGCCTATAGGAACTCTCACTAGGACTGGGAAATGTCACCATCTCATCCATTGTCCACCTAACATGTGAGGGGCTTGGCTGGCAGGAGACCCCTGAATTTTATTCTCTTTGGGATTAATACTGCCCTGGTTTTTTCCTTTCATTGTTTCTTTCTTTTTTCTTTTTTCTTTTTTTTTGCCTTTCCCTTCTTCCTCTCTTTACCTTCCCTTGCTTTTTATCCTTTCTATCTCTACTTTCACCTTTTCTTCTTTTTTCTCTCTCTCTTTTCCAACTACTGGTGCTCTTTGTCTTCTTCTTCTTCTCCTTCTTCTTTACTCTCGGTTTTTCTTCACTACTCTGGTCTCTTTCCCTTTGACTCATCCCTCTCCCTAATTGTATTTAGTTCTTTTCCTTTCTTTTTATTTTCTATCTTTTTTTCTGTGCTTTTTTTGTGTGTGTTTATTTTCCTTTCCCTCTTTTCTTTTTTTGATTTCTGTATCCTTTTTCTAGCTGCTTCCTGATTTTTCCCCCATTACTATTTTCTTTTTTCATTGTTGCTTGTTTGTTTCTCTTCTCTTTTGTATGTGTGTTTTCTTTTCTTGTTTCACCCAACAGGAGACAGCAACCATGCCCACACAGCCCAGCCACAATCATGTCCTCTATGGACCCACCCGCCAGGAGGTGGCAATAACAGATACCATACACCTGATCAACAACAACAGTCAACATCAGTCAAACCCATCCTAAACTGAGCTACATGAACAATGAACAGAGAACAGAGCACAAGCTTCCATCCCCTAATCACACCCACCAGAAGGCAATTATTGAGTGCCTAAGAATACACCAACATACAATCATCAATTAAATACAAATACAACAGAACCACAATGTCTCAAAAGTAACATACAATCTCTGTTCACATGAAGAAACAAGACAGAGTAACTCAAACAAGTGACTAAAAGGTGGAGCTAGAAAATGTTTTTAAGGTTTAAAAAAAAAAAGCTTTGGAACTACCTAAAAAATAATTCTAGACAATGTTTGTTGTTATTGTTAAGTGCCGTCAAATAAATTACAACTCATAGCAACCCTATGTAGGATTTACAAGGAACAGCTGAAGGGTTTGAACCATCAACCTGTGATTATCAGTCCAGTGTTTACCCTAAAACACCACAGCAGGAGACCAATGGATATTTAGATACTTCTAAATGATTGACAGATGGGTCAAAGAAACCAGAAGAATTCAGGAAAACACTACAGGAACAAACAAACAAAACACATAAAGAATTGGAGACAACACAAATCCTGCAAATAGAAATCCAGAAGATTAATAATAAAGTTTCAGAAATGAGAAATACATTCAAAGGACAATAAAGTAGATTTGAATCAGTGGAAGCCTGAATTAGTGAGCTTGAAGAGAAATCTCTTCATACTGGTAAGCTAGAAGAACAATCAGAAAAAATAATTTAAAAATTGAAAGAAAGCCTAAGATCCATGTGGGACAACACGAAGAGAACTAACTTATGGGTGATTGGAATTCCAGAACAGGAAGAGACAATAAAAAGCACAGAGAAAACTAAGGAAAAGTTATTGAAAGAAAAGTTGCTAGTTGTAAGTGGGTCCCAAAACAAGAGAAGGCTCTGTTGCAGAGGCTG